ACTGGTTCAAGTTTCTTACCTTCAGACTGGGTCCAGTTGAACTCTGCCAAACACGGCACGATGAAAAGGGCCAAGGGGACAAGCCTGCTCACAGCCTCCATCTCTGTCAGGGGAAAAACAGCCCAGAGGGCTAGCAGGCTTTTATACTTCTCGGTGTTTCATAACCGGCTGGCTGCATGAGCCCTCTGGCCACCTTCAGGGAAATGTGTCAGTGTGACCAGCCAAGGACTAAATTTATGTGGGAATGGAGCAGCTGTGTGACTGGTGTATTATCAGCAATCCCCAACTTGAGTGTTCCCTCTCTGGCTCATTCCTGGAAAGCTTACAGAAAGTTCCCAGCTAAAAACTTCCTCGCAGGGGATCTCCAGCCCCCGGCCTGCAGCAGGCACTGAGTAATTCATCACGGCACCGAGTTAGAGTTGAGCCTTCGCCCTGTTATTCGTTCAGATCACGAAGCAGGTAGCACTGCTGATATCGTAAGCCTTCACCGCTCTTCTCCTCCAATTGAAGTCAAAGGATCAGCTGGGGGAGGTGGGTGGCACCTGGGCAAAGTGTGGGTCCAGCTAGGTCACTCTGACGCCTGCCGGGGTGCTGACACAGAGGGAGAGGAAGAGCTGGTACAGGGTGGGGAGCAAAAAGAAAGTACAGGTGCAGGTTTGGCTTCAGGAACTCAAACCGTTATGTCCAGAGAGGCTGAAGCAGGTGAATTAAAGTCCCCTTGGCACTGTTTTACAAATGACAGAAAGGAATCCTGTTGTCCAAGGTGAGATGGGTGCTGCAGTGGCAAGGCCAGTGCCTGTGACATCAGGAAGTTGTGCTCACAAGGAGCTTGTATATGGGTCTTCCCTGTTTTCATTCATTCATTTACTCAACAATTATTTGTTGGCTACTGCTCTAGGGCCTGGGGATTCATAATTGAACGTGAGAAACGCAGTCCCTGCCCTCATGGAACTTACTCTCTAAGTGGAGGAGACAGACAACAAACAAAGTAAATTACAAATAGTGAGAGGTACTATGAACGTAATGAAACAGGGTGATGGGATAGAGTGCAGGGAGGATGCGATATTGGGGTGCAATTGAGAAAGATGAAATGTGAGCAAACACAGAAAGACAGAGGCATTTATGTGTCATGTGGGCTTAAGGGATGCATTTTAGGCAAAACAATGGGCAAGTGCAAAGGCCCCGGGGCGGGAATCAGTTGGGCATATCTACATAATAAGGGAAGGCAGGCCAGTGTGGCAGAGGTGAGTAAAGGGGAGGGGAGTAGAATGTAAGTTAAGGTGAGGCAGGTAATGGTCCAATAATGAAGGATGTGTAGGTCAGATGAGGCATTTGGATTTTATTCTAAGTTCAGATGAAACTTTTTTGAGCAGGAAAACGATGACCAGCAGCTCTGTGGAGGTAATGGTGGATACAGACTGAACTTATAGCTTGAAACCCTTCCCAGGTGCTCTCAACTTTCCATGTTGTTCTCACTGTCCTGCAGCCCAGAGACCCTTGCTTGGCTCTAGGACACTGGGGTTCCTGGGCAGGGCACAGTACTAGACTGTGACCCAGGGGTTCCATTCCTAGTTAGGCCCCTGGACCAGGCATCTGGCTTCATACCAGTGCCACAGCAGCAAGGCCAGCACCTGTGACATTACCAAGTTGTGCTCAGTAAGGAGCTTGGACACTCACCAAGGTCCCTGGCACAGCCCCACTCAGTTCCTGTCAGCTCAGAGAATTCTGGGGCCAGCCACATACCAGGTAGGGACTGGATATCCTGATGTGAGAGCAGGGGGCATCAGTATAGGGTAGGTACCCTTCTGATCACTAAGGACCCCTTACCCTCTGCTATGCACAGATCCCCACTCCTACCCCTACTTTCTTACTAACACCATCCTCCTGTCTCCTATGGACGTGATCTCCTAGCTCCCTGAACCAGCACCACTGGGTGTGAGAGCTCCATGGTCACTCTTCTGAGAGGGGGCTGACAGAGGGGAAGGAGCCCTGGGTCAGCAATCAGGAGACGAGCAGTTCAGGCCACTGGCAATACCATGAGATCCCAGGATTCCAGGGCCTATGGGGTTGGTATACCTTATTTTGCTTAATCCTCACTATCACCTCTGCAAGCCCTCAATTTACATCACGGAAACCGAGGCTCAGAGAGGTTAAGAAACTTCCCCAATGGCCCATGGCTATTGAAAGGCAGAGTTGGATTTGAACCGAGTGTATCTAGCTCTGAAGCCCACAGGGTACGCTCTGTCCCTACTGCCTACCAGACGGGTGTCCCAGGAGCCCTTGCCCCATCCTGCCTCCTTCGTGGACCCTGAGATGCCTGAACTTCAGATGTATTCCCAAGGAATTCCTGTACAGAACGTGCTTGCACAGGGCCTCCAGGGTTCTGGGCACTGCGCTGCCCGTTGGGTGAGGTTCAGAAGGAAATGGGATGGGCTCAGGAGCTTGCCAGCGACGAGAAAATCGAAGTGCAAGTGAACACCAAACACCAGGCCTGAACAGGAGATGCCAGACAGAGGCAGAGAAAGTGCTTCAGGAACTCAAGAGAGACAGGTCATTTCCAGATGGGAAGTCTCAGGGCAAGATGCAGGGAAGATGCAGCCCTGAATTTGCCTCCTGAAACTCATCCTGAAGCCTGCAGGGATTTTCGTGGCCATTCCAAATGGCTGCTCTGTGAGAGCAGCCTCAGCTCCCACATCCCTTCTGGCAAATCTCTCCACCACTGGAGTGCGGAAATGGCCTCATCAGCCAAGCCCTCTGGAGAGAGTGCTCTGCTCACAAAGCCAGGGTTTTGTTAACAAGTACAAAATGTAGTTTCAGATGGACAGTCTGTGAGTAAAAAGGGGTCCAGACAGGGGAAAGATCAGGAACAGAGGGGAGCTGATGAACAGGAGTGGAGAGGAGTATGTCCTACTGCTGAGACCAAGAGAATCCTGGCCTCTCCAACTCAGCTGGGGGTTCCGGTCAGCAGTTACAGGCACTGACTGGCAGCTGAATTAGCAAGACTCCGTGTTAAAGGGATCTAGAAGGGAGGGAATCTGCTTCTGAAGATTTGCTTGGAGAATGCCAGAGGGAGAATCTCGGGTTTTCTGAAATGTCTTTTAGGTGCCATTGGGCTCCACCCCATCATTACACAGATAAGCTAACCTAAACCCAGACATGTCCCATCGCTTTGTTCCCACTCTCTCCAAGATGACAGTTGTCCTCCTTCAGGACAGTGTGACAGAACTGTGCAGGAGAGGAGCTAGATGAGAGTGGGTGAAACTCTCGGGAGGAGAAGAGCCAAATGAGCTCCTCCAGCTGGGAATTTCTGCTGAGTCGGAAACTGGAAACGCTCTAAGATCAATATATATTTTTCTTCTGGGCATTGGAGATAACTTCTCTTTATATTGCAATATAATACTACAAGATAGTTGCCCCAAGTCACCAAGTGGCTAGTACACAAATTTAAGTGCATTTATTATTATTTTTTTTAATGTTTATTTACTTTTGAGAGATAGCACAAGCAGGGGAGGGCAGAGGGAGAGAAAGACACGGAATCCGAAGCAGGCTCCAGGCTCTGAGCTGTCAGCACAGAGCTGAATGCAGGGCTCGAACTCAGGAAGTGTGAGATCATGACCTGAGCTGAAGTCAGACCTTAACCAACTGAGCCACCCAGGGGTCCCTAAGTGCATTTATAACAAACAACAACAAACACCAGAGGCAAAGAATTATTTTCAATATTGCATTTATTCAAAACTACATAAATATGTTACATAATACATAATGTAAACATTATAAAACTTGACTTGAATAATAAAACATTCTACTAAGAAAGAAAGACTGCGCATGAAGATTTTTGTGCCCACCCAAGTCAGAGTCCCTCGTTTACATCACAGAAGCATGGTGGCAGGGAATCAAAGTCGGCATACAAGCTACATTCGTCACAGCACTGGAGGTTGGGATAAGACCCAGCAGTGATGGCTGCGGCCGCGACCTTGTCCAGGGGTGAATTTTTTAAGGCCAAACAAAGAGGTGCCTTTGAACATCTTAAGAAAAGACATACGTAAAGTGTAGGATTAGAATTTTTCTTCTCCATCCATTTGTCACAATTATCGGGGGTACCTGGGAAGTTTAGGGCTGGAGCCAATTAAATACATGACACCAGCCCCAAACTAGAGTTCTCTGGCCCTGTCCCAAGTTCCTGTCTAACCCCCTCCTCTCCTAGGATTGTTAGAAATGTAAAATCAGGTTGCAGCAAATAAGGGAGAGTGAACTACAAGCGTGGATCCCCCAGCGG